CTTCCTGGAAATGAAGACTCTCAGGCTCCATCCCAAAGCTACTGAATCAGAGCCCCCCTGTTTCACTGGACCCAGGCACCCAGTGTGCATATTGAAGTTTCAGGAGCACTTCCCGGTGCTTCCAATCTCATCTGTCTTGGTATGGACTGGACCGTGCATCTGATTATAATGTGCAGCCAAGGTGCAGAAGTAGCCTGTGTCTGGTGTTATGTCCAAAGCTCAATGAATGGACACAGATAAGGCTTGAATTACATCGGGTGGGAAGAGGGAGGGAAATATGTGATTGCCTCTCCGTCTTTGGTGCAGGCAGGCCTTGGCAGGGCACTTGTTGGCCTTAGTTGTATTAGCGCACCCTTCTCTTAGTTTCCGCATTCTCTGGGCCCTGTTTTCTTCCTCCTCCTCTGAATAGAGGGCTGTGGCCACGCCATCAGACTAGGGCGTCACCCAGGGTGGTAGCTGAACCTTGATTGGACAGGGACTTCCCCAAGACTTTCATTTTCTCCATCCCGCCAAAACAGGCCAGTGCCCAGAGTTCTCAGCATGGAGTTTTCTGGTGGGTCAGGGACAGACCTGAGTGTGAGCACATGTGCATGAGTGTGCCCCAGCACAGTGAGCACTCTGCCTGTCCCCTTGGGGAATCCAGAGCCACCCCCCCCACCCGCCCCTGCAAGTCCTCTTGTCAAAAGTTTCAAGGAGGCCAGATTTACAGAAAACCTGGAGAAGTCAGGATAATCCTACCCAAGTGCCGTCATTTTAATGGAAAGGAATGTCTGTGCTCTGGTAGAACCACCCTGAAACAATGCCGGACTGTGCTTGGGTCTCAGAGAACAATTCCAGGTCTCAGATAAAGAAAAGGGATTTGGGTCTGAGGACAGGGCTCCCGCCCCTCCCCCAAACTTCCTACCAGACCTCATTCCAAAGTCATCCTCCACCCTTACCTCTCAACCCCAGCAAGCCACTGGGAAATCAGACACAGCTCTGTGGCTGAACTATGATCGCAGTCAAAATGCAGAGGAAACTGTTTTCAACACCTACACCTGGGTGTAAATGGAGTAAGAGGTCCTTCTGTACAAGTGGTTTGCTGGGAGGCCACACAGCCAGGAACCCCTGGGCCGGGGCGGGAGAGGCCTGGGATGGCCCACACCACCTGGCCCACTGCTGTCCCTGGCAGGTGGCAGCCTCCCAGCTGTATGCTTGTCTCCCTCCCAGGATCTGTGTCCTTCAAAGCGGCCTCCTAATGCAGGGAGGAAGTCATTAACTGAAGGCTTTCTCTCTGGTTCACAAAGTCACTCACTTTGCCTGGCTGCTTTAAATCAATGCACCCAGCCCTCTGGTGACAGCCACAGAGCCTGCCTATGCTCTAAGCAGATCTCACGGTGCATTAATATTTTTAATTACCAGCTGAATTAAAACGGACTGAGAGGAAAAGGTGAGCAGAACTCAGCCTTAGGTCTCTCCTTTGCTGATTGTGGGAAATTTCTCCGGGGACCGGCGGAGGCCCTCTCCCTACCAAGCAAGATGTCTTTCAGGAAAGGGGGAGAACTCTGATAGCTAGGGGCTCTCTCACCAGAAAAATGCTCAGAAAATCTTAGGTACGTTTCAGGCCTCATGATTCCTGCCCCAAAATCATGGAGCCTCCCACTGCCCTGAATTTTATCCAAAGATCTGGAGAGGGTCCATGAAACCCAATTGGAAAATAACTATATTTTTTTATATTTTAAAAATATAAACTCGCAAGCCTTCAGAAACCTAGTGGTTAAAATATTGTAAATGAATAACTGGGTCAGTGTATGATAAGGAATGGTGGGGACTGTGACTAAAATTAAGCATTTAAAATTTCAAATTTAATTTCAAAAATTAAATTATTACCAGATGTACCGAACAAAATACATCTTTAGACTAAATTTAACTCATGGGTAACCTTTTTATTGTTTTAGGGTTTTTCAGGTGTTTATACCCACCCTCACCCTCCAACTGATAATGAAACCTGCCCACCACCTAAATCTCTCTCCTTAGTCTTACCTGGTGAGAGTTCTCTCACCTGTTTTCCTCTGTGCTGTTGCCAATTCCTCCAGGGCTCTGCTCATCTCTAAGACCCAAGTTCAACAGCACCTCAGCCATGAAGCAGCCTGACAGCCAGAGCTACAGTGTGCTTCCTGAGCTCTGTCTGACTCAGTGGTCACCTCCCATCCCCACACCAGTGGTCCTTAACCAAAGGAGATTTTGCCCCCTAGGGGACATCTGGTAATGTCTGGAGACATTTTCCCTGGTAGAAGTTTGGGGGGAAGGTACTGCTGGCATCTACTAGGGCAGCACAGGGATGTTGCTAAACACTCTGCAATGCACAGCACTGCTCCCCCCACCCCCAAAAGAACCATCTGGTCTGAATGTCAATAGTGCTGAGGTTGAGAAACCCTGCTGTGAGCGACCCTGAAGGAGATTTTTGAGGGCAGGTCTATGACTTGGTTAATCCCATGCTCTCGGCATCTGGTACACAGTAGGTGGAATGGCAAGGGGGTGAGCCTAAAAAAGAGAAAGATCCCATCTCAGCCCAAATAGTACACAGCTGAGTCAGGAAGGCGCCCCTGAACGTTGGCTCTCTACACAGACAGCTCAGGCAACGATGACAACCATGAAGTGAGTTTACTGAGAGAAGCTTCATGAGTTTGGGGAGGGAGCATTAGAATTATGTGTGTAGTTGGGTTCTTTGGGGTGTAAGGACAGATGACACCCAGGGCTCCTTGAGAGACGAAGCATTCACTGTGAAGAGAGACGTGAATGGAACCCCAGGCCTTGGGTAAAGCCATCACTCTGGCCCCTTCCATTCAGGAGATGCAGATAAAGCCACATCTTTTCCCTCCATCTCGCCCCACCCCTCTGCTAGCTTCTGATCGCCTGCTTACCTTTGACCTGCACTCCCACTGGGCTGACTTGTTTATTACTCAAAGTGACTCAGGCCCACAAAAATGTTTTCATTTTAATTTCTTTTAAAATCAGAAGAACAAAAAATGTAGTAATGAATATAAAATAATGAATCTAGCCTGGATTATATTCATCTTTATCCAATTTAGTCACATTACATTTAATACTATATTTTTATAAAAAGAGGGGGTCCCACCCCGAAAGCATTGCCCATCCCCCCTCCCAGCCACCTCTGCAGCTTCCCGGGTGCAATTCCAGCCACGGACACCTGCCCCTTGTTTCTTAATGAAAATCCCACACAGAATCCGCTCGAGACATTCTGAACACAAACATGTAACTAGAAAGTATGTTGACTTTGATGAATTTTCCTTGGGAAAGGGTTTTCCGGAATGGACTCCATTAAGTCAATTTAATTCCCTGATCAATTTTCTATAAAGCTCAGTTAAGCTATTTCCAATTTTTTCACTGTTTCATTTTGAGTTGACTGATACTATTTTCATTGGGGCCAATTCTTTTTTTCATTTAAGCTTTATATCAGAACTTTGCTTCATAGATGGAACTTTTGTCAATAACAAATTTCACTGATGATAGCTTCTGTCATGGCAGGTTTTCTCTTGTAACCTTTATGGCTACCAAGTCCATTTTCTGGGGCCGCATTGCATTCTAAACCTTGTCAAGAACATTTGATTCTTTCATGAATTCTAGTAGATGACAACCTAATCGAGCCACCTAAGTTTGTCTATGCATTGGATAAAAGACTTCAGAGTTTATAACTTTCTTTGCTTAAACCACAAGAAAATTGTGACTCCATCTATGAAGCGGAAAGGGTGATGCCGAGGGGGAGGCGGCGTCACCAGGGGTCTCGGGCTCCGGGTAGAATAGTTGCCGCCTGGACAGTTCTCTCTCCACGCCACGGAGTGCTTCCTCGGGTGTTATTTCACATGGTCTGAACAGCGCCACGGGCAGGCAGTATCACCTTTGATTTACGGATGACAAAAGAAAATAAGGAGAGTCAGGTGGGTCCCCTTGTTTCAAACCCAGGATTCCCCGTTATGCCTCACAGCCCGTGGAAAGGAGGCCGGCGAGGCGTCGGCATAAATCACATCACAGCCCACCAAGGTCTGCAGGGTGGCTCCTGACATTCAGGGGCCTGAAGGGTGCAATTGGAGGTCCTCAGTCCTGTGCTGAAATATTTTTAAGTTATTAATCAGGCTCAGAAGCCCTTAAAAAATTTTTTTCTCCTCTTACCTTGACAAATAATACCTTAATAATGACAAAATTGAAAAATAGTGGTTTTTGTCCCTGTCTGAGTGGTTCAAAGTGGTTCTGGAGCGTGGTCCCATGCACCAAAGGGTTGCTGGTTCAATCCCCAGTCAGGGTAAGTGCCTGGGTTGCAGGTTCAATCCCTAATCAGGCCACATGCAGGAGACAACAAACTGATGTTTCCTTCTCTCTCTCTCTCTCCTTCCCCCCCACATCTTCTCTCCTTCTAAAGTCAATAAAAATGTGTTATTGGGCAAGGATTAAAATAAGTTTTAAAGAAAAATGATGTTTTCATATGACTGAAGACTGGTTTTTATATGGCTGAAAGTTAGTTAAAATGTCAAAGATGACAGCCCTTGATCGGTACTAGGTATGTCTGAATGCTCTGTGGATAAACTAGCAACGTTTGAAAGAGCAATAAAATATAAACGCATAAGTTATACACTATTTTTTATTTCATTAAATTTGTCTCTTTATTCCAACAAAATTACTAATTACCTTGTTGTAATAAGGATTTTTACAAAGTTTTGTTCTACTGGCAGAAATGCCACATTAGACCATCTTTCTTGAGTTCTCAGACACAGTTCTGCTTTAAATTCTGCATGGAGATACTTCACTTTTCTAAAACAATGGGAACTGGAATTATCAATATATTCCTTAAAGCAGTATTTAGATTTCGAAGTGAACCATAAATTTTACATATCATGTTCAAACATTCAAATGGGCTTTTATATGAATGATAACTTATTATTACAGGAAGCATTATGTAATATTCTGATTTTTCCATACAAATTTCTATCACTTAGAGATGCAGCCTCGGTTGCAGCACAGCCTCGCCTGGTGCCGCACAGCATCCCACCCCTGGAACACGGTGCTGGTCTCGACGAGGGAGGGAGGCTGTGAAAGACTGTGTCCCTGCAGGCACACCATTTAATTCGGCTGGATTTTTTCACAGCAAGATTTTCCTGATGAAGAAGGCAGTATGTTGATTTACATTTCCTAATTAGCATGAAGATTCCATGTGGCATTTCTGAAGTTCTTTCACATTTTTCAACACTGAGATATTATAAAGAAAACCAAAAATGCCAGTACTTTGCTCATTTGTGCAAACCTTTCTTCAACTGAGACTCTGCCTTCAGCTATAATGACTGGAAAATAGGCTCTATATTTGAACTATGTGAATGTGAATCTTCTTTATGGTCATTTTATTTGTGTTTCCTAATTTCCTATATTTTATCGGTATATCACTTTTATTGCATATTGTATATAAAGGTTTGTTCTATTGACTTAAAAAAATTCTCTAACCATTAAAATATATTTTCAGTCATTTGTGACAATTTACATCTGTTTTTTAAATATATATTTTATTGATTATGCTATTATAGTTGTCCCATTTTTACCCATTTATTTCCCCTCTGCCCTGCACACCCCTTCCGACCCCATTCCCCATTCTTAGTTCATGTCCATGGGTCATACATATAAGTTCTTTGGCTTCCACATTTCCTATACTATTCTTAACCTTGCCCTGTCTATTTTCTACCTACCATTTATGGTACTTATTTTCTGTACCTTTTTCCCTTCTTTTCCCCTTCCACTCCCCCACTGAGAACCCTACATATGATCTCCATTTCTGTGGTTCTGTTCCTGTTCTAGTTGTTTGCTTAGTTTGTTTTTGGGTTTTTTTGGTTTTTTGGGGGGGGGTTCGGTTGTTAATGACTGTGAGTTTGCTGTCCTTTCACTGTTCATATTTTTTATCTTCTTTTTCTTAGATAAGTCCCTTTAACATTTTATATCATAAGGGCTGGGTGGTGATGAACTCCTTCAGCTTGACCTTATCTGGGAAGCACTTTATCTGTCCTTCCACTCTAAATGATAGTTTTGCTGGAGAGAGTAATTTTGCATATAGGTCCTTGCCTATCATGACTTGGAATACTTCTTTCCAGACTCTTCTTGCCTGCAAGGTTTCTTTTGAGAAATCAGCTGATAGTCGAATCAGAACTCCTTTGTAGGTAACTGTCTCCTTTTCTCTTGCTGCTTTTAAGATTCTCTCCTTATTTTTAATGAGTAGGGGCTTAGGAACCTTCAGGACATCTTTAAATGTTCCAACATCCAAATTATAGGGGTACCAGAAGGGGAAGAGGAACAGCCATGAGTGGAAAACTTATTTGAACAAATAATAAAGGAGAACTTCCCCAATCTGGCAAAGGCAATAGACTTCCAGGAAATCCAGCAAGCTCAGAGAGTCCCAAAGAAGTTGGACCCAAGAAGGAACACACCAAGGCACATCATCATTACATTAGCCAAGATTAAAATGAAGGAGAGAATCCCAGAAGCAGCAAGAGATAAGGGGACAGTCACCTACAAAGGAGTTCCCATCAGACTGTCAGCTGATTTCTCAGAAGAGATCTTACAGGCAAGAAGGGGCTGGAAAGAAGTATTCCAGGTCATGAAAGCCAAGGCCCTACATCCAAGATTGCTCTATCCAGCAAAGCTTTCATTTAGAATGGAAGGGTAGATAAAGTGCTTCCCAGATAAGGTCAAGTTAAAGGAGTTCGTCATCACCAAGCCCTTATTATATGAAATGTTAAAGGGACTTACCTAAGAAAAAGAAAATAAAAAAGATGAACAGTGAAAGGACAGCAAACTCACAGTTATTAAGAACCACACCTAAAACAAAAGCAAACTGAGAGGACAGCTAGATCAGGAGCAGAACCATAGAAATGAAGATCATGTGGAGGGTTAGCAACAGGGGAGTGGGAGAAGGAGAAGGGGGGGAGAAGGTGCAGAAAATAAGTAGCATAGATGGTAGGTAGAAAATAGATAGGGGGGAGGGCAAGAATAGTATGGGAAATATAGAATCTAAAGAACCTGAGACACATGGTCATAAACTAAAGGGGGGGGGAATGATAGGGGAGGGGGTGTGCAGAGTGGAAGGGAATGAAGGGGAGAAATAGAACAACTGTAATGGCATAATCAATAAAAATATATTAAAATTTTTTTAAAGATTCCTTATTTTTAATATTGCAAACTGTAATTATGATGTTCCTCAATGTGTTTCTCCTTAGGTCCCACTTCTTTGGGACTCTCTGAGCTTCCTAGACCTCTTAAAAGTCTATTTTCTTTACCAGATTGGGGAAGTTCTCCTTCATTATTTGTTCAAAAAAGTTTTCCACTTGTTGCTCTTCCTCTTCTCCTTCTGGCACCCTTATGATTCAAATGTTGGAACATTTAAAGATGTCCTGGAGGTTCCTAAGCTTCTCATTTTTTTGAATTCTTATTTCTTCACTCTGTTCTGGTTGAATGTTTCTTTCTTCCTTCTGTTCCAAACTGTTGATTTGAGTCCCAGTTTCCTTCCCTTCACTGTTGGTTCCCTGTACATTTTCCTTTATTTCACTTCTTATTGCCTTTATTTTTTCCTCTAATTTGCAACCATATTCAACCATTTCTGTGAGCATCCTGATTACCAGTGTTTTGAACTGTGCATCTGATAGGTTGGCTCTCTTTTCACTTCGTTGTATTTTTTCTAGAGCTTTGATCTGTTCTTTCATTTGGGCCACTTTTTTTTTTTGGTCTGGGAGCACGTGTCTTGTAGTAAGGGGTAGAGCCTTAGATGTTCACCAGGGCAGGGCACTCACATCACTGCATTGTGGTGCTGTCAGTGGGGGAGGAATTCAGGAGGGAATAATGCTGCTTGCTCCACTCTCTGCCAGTGTTCAGTCACTTCCCCTGCTACTCACAATCAAATTGGGCCCTGCTGGTGCTGATTCCTGGGTGGGTGAGTTTGTATACATTCTAGGACCAGGTGGGTCTCTCAAATGAACTCTCTTATGAGGCTGGGAGTTTATTCCGCTACCTCAACCCCCACAGGTGTTTCCAGTCAAAGGTTATGAAGCTTTATTTCCCTGCTCTGGGACCCTGGGTTGCTCAGTCTATCTCACTTTCCAGTTGTCCCTCCTGGTTTATCTGCACACAAATGTGGAACCGCCCAGTCCACTAGCCACTGCCTTGCCCAGTCCTCCAGATATGGCCTTTTGGTGAGTCCTCTCTACCCGGGTGACTGACTCCACCTCTCCTACCAGTCTGGATAAATGTTTCTTCTTTAACTCTTGGTTATAGGACTTCCATACCGTTGGATTTTCTGTCAGTTCAGGGTTTTTTTTTTTAATTGTTGTCCTTCTTTTGGTTGTGTGAGGAGGCACAGTGTGTCTACCCATGCCTTCATCTTGGCTGGAAATCCTAAACCTGTTTTTTCAAAAATAATTGTTTGCTAACATTATTGACAAGCAACAGTTTATACCAAATAATTATGGGCAGCACAAATTTTTAAATTAATTTTATTTTCTCTCAAGCACCATGACTTGTTCTTTGAGGATCTTCTGCTATTTCACCAACCTCTCCTAACCATACTGCATCTTGTCCAAGTTACTTCTGACACCTTTAGGAACATTTGCTGGCTTTCCAATCAAGTGCCCGTGAGTGGCCATAAGGTCAAATTTGACATGTGTTTCATTGAGATGTTCTACCTTGGGACAGAGCCAGAAAACATCAGATGTAGTTGCTGAATGTCCAAAGAGCCGTGGCACAGGCACAGCTGAACTGAAGCCATGAGCTTCACCCAGCGAAGAGGGTGCGTCTTCAATTTTGGTCACATTAGTAGCATCATCAGAGGTTTACCCTAGACAAATTTTTTAAAATAATGCCGGTAATAGAAAGTTGTTATTCAGTTTGTCACTTTAATCAAAGCCTATATTTTTCATGAAAGGCACAAAATTAATGAAATACTCCTTATTTTGACATTTCTTTTTTTGTAGTTCAAAACTCATAAAATAAATATTAGTCATTCAATGTAGCTTTTGTCCCTGATACAACCTAATTGATTGGAGTGATATTTGTTTTTTTTTAATTTTCTGTTCATTTTCTTCTCTCACTTTTCACCCTCCAAATTAATCTCATTTTGAGCTCTGCATCCTAATAATTATTTGTTTCACTTCTTAAAAGTCTATCTATATGTTTGCCTATTTTAGCATCAAAATTTAAATTCATTTCTACTGAACCTAGGCTTTGTTATTTTGTTTTCTGTATTACATCTGCAGTGCCTCTCCTGACTCCAAACACAACATTGTTTGGCTAAATACAATGGGCACCTCATTTTATGCTTTAAACTACCCCATTGATGTTCCCTGTCAGTTTTTAAAAAAAATATATTTCATTGATTATGCCATTACAGTTGTTCTATTTCTCCCCTTCATTCTCCTCCACCCTGCACACCTCCTCCCCCACCATTCCTCCCCCTTTAGTTTATGACTACATGTCCCAAGTTCTTTAGATTCTATATTTCCCATACTATTCTTGCCCTCCCCCCTATCTATTTTCTACCTACCATCTATGCTACTTATTTTCTGCACCTTCTCCCCCCTTCTCCTTCTCCCACTCCCCTGTTGCTAACCCTCCACATGATCTTCATTTCTATGGTTCTGCTCCTGATCTAGCTGTCCTCTCAGTTTGCTTTTGTTTTAGGTGTGGTTCTTAATAACTGTGAGTTTGCTGTCCTTTCACTGTTCATCTTTTTTATTTTCTTTTTCTTAGGTAAGTCCCTTTAACATTTCATATAATAAGGGCTTGGTGATGACGAACTCCTTTAACTTGACCTTATCTGGGAAGCACTTTATCTGCCCTAAATGAAAGCTTTGCTGGATAGAGCAATCTTGGATGTAGGGCCTTGGCTTTCATGACCTGGAATACTTCTTTCCAGCCCCTTCTTGCCTGTAAGATCTCTTCTGAGAAATCAGCTGACAGTCTGATGGGAACTCCTTTGTAGGTGACTGTCCCCTTATCTCTTGCTGCTTCTGGGATTCTCTCCTTCATTTTAATCTTGGCTAATGTAATGATGATGTGCCTTGGTGTGTTCCTTCTTGGGTCCAACTTCTTTGGGACTCTCTGAGCTTGCTGGATTTCCTGGAAGTCT